CAACGAATGCCACCAATATATATATATATATATATACAATATATCTCTCTTTCTTTTCACGTCACACACACTTATGACGGTTAAGCCTCGGTCACAACTCGCCGTACGTGCTTCTGCGTGCTGTCTACGTGCAAAAACGTGGGCAAACGTACGGCATCCGTGCGTGGTGAGTACCGCCTCCGTACGGAATCCTACGGATTTGGGAGCACGCAGACACGCCGTAGAACCTTAAGTGCATGTAATACTTTTTCTACGTGCGGTCTGCGGATTTACCACCCGTGCGTGCGAGTACGTGCGACGCGCGTGCCCCGTACAGCCTATGAGCGTGCAACGTACGGACTCCGTGAGTCTAACTTCACTATTCTCACGTGCAATTGCTGTACGGACAGCGCACGAAGCACGTGAGTGCCACGCACGGTGCTTGCGTCATCCGTGCTTACTCCTCACTTCCCAGTTGACCTGCTCAATGACCACGCAGAACACACGTAGTAGTAATGGTTTATTGTTGTTTCACAAGCTTTACAGAATGGCAGAGCCATGGCACCAGACCATGGCTCTGAATTGATCTGTAATTAACAGAATCGTTCCATAAATAGACAGCATTTAACGCCTAAAACAAGATCACATATCAATCGAGTAATTAAAAGAATTACTTTAGGTTAAAATAAGTTAAAATACCATATAGTTTAAAACATTAGTACACTCGGCTAGGACAACATAGATTGAACATTGGATATTAATAAAAGAATATTCATCATGAAAACATCTCGGGGAACAGTCACCAAGTTATGAGTTCAGTATGCGGGTCATGTATGGCACGGCGCTTGTGTAGTATCTAGCTGTTCTGCAGGGTGGTGTGTCCAGTTTGTGTGACGTGCGAGTTACCCTGCTACTTATGTTCCCTCGTGACGGTGGTAGTAGGTGGCGATACTGGGTTGATTGTACAAGCGACTTAGCGAAATCTTTGGTGAGTTTTTCGCGTCGAGACCACAGAGACGGTAATCCGAGCTGGTCACATGCTCTCTTGTATGATGTATAGTGGGTACCAAGAATGATGCGCAGCGCTCGCTTCTGTACTTTCTCGATTCTTTCACTTAGAACTACCGGAAGTCCAGAATGCCAGACGGCAGCTGCATATTCAGCAACAGGTCTGATATAGGATATGTATACTGTCACAAGATCGTCAGTCGAAAGCTGGAAGTGTTTGAGTCTACGCAGGAAGAAAAGTCGTTGACTTGCTTTGTGACAGAGTGTGTTCACGTGAGTATCCCATTTGAGGTCCGCTTGGATGTAGACACCCAGAATCCTCATGGAATCGACTACTTGCAAAGTGACGTTGTTTATGGTAAGTGGTTGAGGGACTGTCAACATTCGGCTGAATTGGAGGTGCATAACTTTGCACTTGCCCGGGTGGAGCATCATGTGGCTCTCCTGGGACCACTTATCCAAGTCCGACAGGTCTTGTTGTAGGTTTGAGGGAGCAGTAGGTGGGTA